CAGCGATCTACACATAATGGGATTAATTCAATAATAATAGATTAATGAATAAGATTTTTCGCAGATTATTGCGTGATTTAGATGAATGGTTTGCCTCCTGCAGTGTNCCAAACTTAACGAGTGCGAGTGAGAAAGAAAATGGAGGAGGAGAGAGAAAACATTCCAACTCGTTTCAACGTTTGGAACGTTTTCGTTGTTCTTCAGCGATCTACACATAATGGGATTAATTCAACAATAATAGATTAATGAATAAGATTTTTCGCAGATTATTGCGAGATTTAGATGAATGGTTTGCCTCCTTCAGTGACCACAAAAAATTGTCTCCAATCGACAATATCTCCCGATGGAATGGAACGATGTGAATGAATCAAGTATCAATTTGAATCTTTAAAAAATTAATCGAGTGAAAAAAAATCCGGGAATTCCACACTGACATTTCTCTATTGTTTGTATTTACCGAGAAAAAAAAACGTTGTTCCTAGGAATCGATGTGTATTTTTTAGGCAGCTGCATTTCTGAAATACAATGAGCAAGCAATCATAAAATTAAGTCATTTTGTAAAAAATTTCCAGTGACATGATCCTGAAAATCAAAGGAAAGTCTTGAATTCAGGAATGATGTCTGTAGGTTTCAGTAATATTTTCGCGGAAATTCCGGGAACACTTATTGGGAATTTTCATCGCGTTGCCGTAATACGTAAATTTCAAGGAATTTTGTCATTGCTAATTAAAAATTTCTATAAATTTCAGTCCAATTATATGTGTACGTCCACGTGAAAAGGGCCCATTTTATCGCATCTAATTTCCGAGATATTCACGTTTTTATCTCCACTCCATTTATCCTATTATTAAATTGATTTTTTGATCTTCTATACGGACGTCACACGGAGAAAAATAAATCGGTAAAAGTCTTGCGATCGCAAGGAGTTTCCCGACGATCCCCATTTTTCATGCACGAAGAACAATGAAGCTTTTTGGAATCTTCGGGAAATTCTATCCTATCCTACTCAAGTAGGAGCGGAGGAATGCATTTTCAAAAGCGCGGAGTAACCCCGAACGGTTCTCCGGCGTCGAGTGAGCGCGGAGGGGCTCCACCGATTAGAAAATTCATTTCTCCCCCCCCCTCTGCCCACCTAATTGCGAAGAGGGAATGAACGCAACATCTATCGATCGAGAATAATATTCTCAATAAATGACAGTGGTTTCATTCCTTAAGTCTCTATTAGGAGAGGAGGAATGAATTTTCAAAACGCGCAGTAACTCCGAACAAGTTCTTCTCATTCAAAAATTAATTTCTCCCCTCCCTAATTGAGATGAAGTAATGAAACCAAAGCTTACCGATTGAGAATTATATTTTTAATAAATGACATCGGTGTCATTTCTTAATCTCAGTTAGGAACGGAGGAATGAATTTTCAAAAGCGCGGAGAAACCCCAAACGCNAGGAGGAATGAATTTTCAAAACGCGCAGTAACTCCGAACAAGTTCTTCTCCTTCAAAAATTAATTTCTCCCCTCAATGACATCGATTTCATTTCTTAATCTCAGTTAGGAACGGAGGAATGAA